GAGGATTTTTGTTTTCTTTATGTTGAGGTGTAATCCATACTGAAGGCTGTAGTCTTTGATCTTCATCAGTAAGTGCTTCAAGTCCTCTTCACTTTAGCAAGCAAGGTTGTGTCATCTGCATATCTCAGGTTGTTAATGAGTCTTCCTCCAATCCTGATTCCCTGTTCTTCTTCATAGAGTCCAGATTCTCAGATTATTTCCTCAGCATACAGATGGAATAAGCATGGCGAAACGATACAACACTGATGCACACCTTTCCTGATTTTAAACCACGCAGTATCCCCTTGTTCTGTTCAAACAACTGCCTCATGGTCTGTGAACAGGTTCCTCATGAGTGCAATTAAGTGTTCTAGAATTCCCATTCTTCACAATGTTATCTATAATTTGTTATGAGCCACACAGTCAAATGCCTTTGCATAGTCAATAAAACACAGGTAAACATCTTTCTGGCCTTCTCTGCTTTCAGTCAAGATCGATTTGACATCAGCAGTGATATCTTTTGTTCCACGTTCTCTTCTGAACCCAGCCTGAATTTCTGGCAGTTCCCTGTTAATGTACTGCTGCAACCATTTTTGAATTATCTTCAGCAAAAATTTAGTTGTGTGAGATATTAATGTTTTTTTTATTTTATAATTTTGGCATTCTGTTGGATCACCTTTCTTTGGAATGGGCACAAATATGGATCTTTCAGTTGGCCAGGTAGCTGTCTTCCAAATTTCTTGGCATAGACAAGTGAGCACTTCCAGTGTTGCAGCCATTTGTTGAAACATCTCAATTGGTATTCCATCAATTCCTTGAGGCTTGAAGTCTGAATTCAGGAGTCAGCTCTAGGGGAAGGCTTTTTCTGTTGGCTCTGGAAGAAGGACTTTCTCTCTTCTGAGCTTCTGCACCTGGGTGATCTTCACGTGGCTTGGCATCTTTCTTCCCCCATCTCTACTTCCCAGTTTGCTCCTTTAATCTCTTTTACATCTGAAAAGTGATTGATTTAAGACACACCCTGCACTAATCCTGTCTAATTAACATAACAAAGACAATCCATTCCCAAATGGGATTATAACCACAGGTATAGAGGTTAGGATTTATGACACATTTTTGGGGGACACAATTCAATCCGTAACATTCCACCATGTGCCGTCCCCCCAAATTCATGTCTTTCCCACATACAAAGCACATTCACCCCATTACATCATCCCAAAAGTCTTAAATCAACTTCAATTCTAAAATCTCATCTGAATCATTTAAATCAAATATGGATGAGACTTTAAACATATTCCATCCTGGGGCAAAATTCCTGTTTATCTGTGAATCTGTGAAATCTAGACTACAAGTTATCTGTTTCCAAAGTACAATGGTGGAACAGGCACAAGGTAGACACTTCCATTACAAATGGGAGAAATTGGAGGGAAAGAAGGGGTAACAGGCCTCAAGCAAGTCCAAAACCCAGCAGAACAATTTACATTAGATCTCAAGGCTTGAAAATAATCGTCTGTTCTCTGAGACCATCTGGGCAATGCCTTCGCCCTCCAGACTCTGGGTGTTGGCCACATCCTCTGGATTCTGGGTGGAGACCCTTTGGCCCTGGGCTTCAGCTTTGCCTTCTAGGCCCACTGGGACGGCAACTCTGCTCCCTCAGCTTTGGGCAGCCCCTTTCTCCTAGTCCCTCCGAGTGTCGAGCCTACCCCCGTGGCCCCAGCAGGCCCCATACCTCTGCCCCTTAGGCACGGCAGCCCCTCCCCCTCAGCTTTCTGTGGCGGCCCCAACCCCCTGGCACACTTTAATGGCAGCCCCACACTCCAGAACCCAGTTGACGAAGATCCGACTCTTTGAAACCTAGGAAGCTGTGGCCCCACCCTTGGAGATTCAGGAGACCGCGGCCTCACCCTTCGAAACTGAGAAGGTACTGGTTTCGGTGCTCCTTTGAACAATTCTGCTGATCTCCAAGCTGCTTCAGGGATGGTTCTTTTTTCTTGGAGGCCAACAGACATACCTCCTTTGGCCTGTTTCCTGCCTGTAGAATTCCAAGAGGCAGATAGTTTCTTTCCTTTTGTCCCGTCTCTGACCCCTTCAATCTAAGCTAATGGGTTTTCTGCCATGGTAGTTGGTTAGATCCATCAGTCATGAGTTTAATCTCATTTTAAGAAGCAAATTTCGTGTCCACATTTCTAGCACTATTCTGTTGCTGGTGCCATATATATTCTCTCAGATGTTACAGTCTTTCTCTACAGCTCTCCTCACTTCCTTCTGAGCCTTATCCAGAATTACCTTTGACATCCATAATTCTACCAACATTCTTTTCAAAGCAATCTAGGCTTTTACTATTAGGCACCTTGAAACTCTTCCAGCCTCTACCCATTATCCAATTCTAAAACTGCTTCTTCATTTTAGATATCTGTTAGAGCAGCACCCCACTCTTCTGGAACCAAATTCTGTCTTAGTTATCTAGTGCTGCTATAACAGAAATACCACAAGTGGGTGGCTTTAAGAAACAGAAATTTATTTTCTCACAGTTAAGAAGGGTAGAAATCTGAGTTCAGTGTTCCAGCCCCAGGAGATGGCTTTCTCTCTCTGTTGGCTCTGGAAGAAGGTCCTTGTCTCTTCTGATCTTCTGCTCCTGGGCAATCTTCATGTGGTTTGGTATTTCTCTTCCCCCATCTCTACTTCCTAGCTTCCTTGTTTAATGTCTTTTATATCTCAAAAGAGATTGACTTAAGACACACCCTACAGTAATCCTGTCTCATTAAAATAATAAAGACAACCTATTCTCAAATGGGATTATAACCACAGGCATAGAGGTTAGGGGTTACAGTACATATTTTTGGGTGACACAATTGAATCCATAACATATAGATATACATATATGCATAATATAGGGTGCATTGATGTTTCAATACGGAGCCCTGATGGTGCAGTGGTTAATTGCTCAGCTGCCAACCAAAAGGTCAGCAGTTTGAACCCACCAGCTGCTCCGTGGGAGAAAGATGTGGCAGTCTGTTTCTGTCAAGATTTAAAGCTTTGGAAACCCCATGGGGCAGTTCTACTCTGTCTTATGGGGGTCACTGTAGTTGGAATCGACTCGATGACAACAGGTTTGCTTTGGTTGGTTGATGTTTCAGTGGTGGAATTCTCACATTCCATGTGGGAGATCCAGACTCAATTCCTGGTCAATGCAATTCATGTGCGCCCACCACCCTTCTGTCAGTGGAGGCTTACGTGTAGCTATGATGCTCAACAGGTTTCAGCAAAGCTTCCAGACTAAGATGGACTAGGAAAAAAGGCCTGGTAATCTACTTCCAAAATTCAGCCAATGAAACTCTATGGATCACAATGTTCCAGTCCACAACCAGTCATGGGGATGGCACAGGACCAGGCAGCAGTTCCTTCCATTGTGCTTGGGGTTGTCATGAGTCAGGGGCCAACCTGACAACAGCTAACAACAACATGTGCATGTATATATGTTTATTCTCCAGTGTCAGTTAAGTACTCTTTGGAAAATATGTATTTCTAATGGTTGCACAATATTCTCTCTCATGAATGTGCTGTAACTTATCTACCGATCTGCTGCTCCTATGTTGGGCATCTAGGTGTTTCCAACACTTATTTCCTAGCCTTGTCTCTTTGACTCAACCTCAGCCCCTATACAAGGCCCAAGAGATCCAGTAGGTTGGAGATTTTCTTGTCAAGGGTTGACACCAGGTGCTTGGACTTCTTGGGTGGGGAGTTGCTCCCAG